AATGAGGGGCCCAAAACTGAGCACAATACTCCAATTGCGGGTGCACCAGAGTCATGTAGAGTGGTAGTAATACCTCTCTCGATCTAGAAGCCACGCTTCTGGCTATGCAACCAAGGGTGGCGCTCGCCCTCTTGGCCACCGCATCACACTGCTGGCTCATGTTTAGCCTGCAGTCAACCAGCACCCTGAGGTCCCTTTCACAAGTGCTGCTCTCCAGCCACTTGTCCCCTAACCTGTACTTCTGACACCCATTCCCATGCCCCAAGTGCAAGACCGAGCACTTATCCACACTGAACGCCATCCTGTTGTCTCCTGCCCACTTCCATAGTCTGTCCAGATCCTTTTGGATCTGGAGTACCTGCTCCTCAGTTGTGGCCACTGCTCCAGTTTTAGTGTGGTCTGCGAATTTGATCAGCAGACTGTTCACCCCTTCTTCCATGTCATTGATGAAAAGATTAAACAGGATTGGCCCCAGGACAGAAGCCCTGGGGGACCCCGCTCGTCACTGGCTGCCATCCCGATGATTCCCCGCTAATGGTTACCTTCTGCGAGCCACCCAGAGATTCACAGCTATAGGTGTGGCATACAAATGCCGCGTATCAAGACTAACAAATAAATGGAGATCTGTGGCCAAAAGAAGTAGGTCCTGATTTTCACTGAATGCTCCAGCTGTGCTTTTTCAGTCTCTGCCGCCCACATGGGTCAGTGCAGGGACTTGCCATCAGCTCTTGTGACATGAGTGTCCTTCCAGAGGCCACCATCTTGCTGCATTCAAAATTTTATGAATGTTTCAGATGTTGCCTTCCACCCTTGAGCCTTCTGCATTTCTCACCGCTTCTGATGTCTTTTCTCTTAGCATAGATAACCTTATTCCCTCAGCTGTGTTCCTGGGAAGCTGTACACCTTGCCTTGGCAGGGGAGACCAACTTGGCCCCAGCTCCTTGGTCAGAGAAGTTCTTCGGTTCCTGAAGAATCCGGGAATGGTCGTCGGAAGGGCCAGAGGGCTCCTGGGTTCTGCCCCTTGCTCATTGCAGGACTCCCAGTTAAACCATCCCTCGCAGGTGGCGGCCCAGTTCTTGCCTGCCTCCAGTGTGGGGGAGCCCATCACCTCCCTCAGTCATGGGTCCCATCGCTCCCCCTCTGCAAGAGTCAGGAAGTTCCTCCTGATGCCCAGCTGGGAGCTGGTTTCCTGTCCCTGGAGCCCATTCTTGAGTGCCCTGCACTCTGGGACGAGTGAGGAGCGATCTTGCCCTCCTTCCCTATGACAGCCTTTCAGGTGCTCGCAGAGTCCCGTCCCCTCTCCCCTCGGTCTCTCTAGAGGCTAAGCCTGCCCGTTCCTCCCCTCTCTCCTCACAGGCCTCTGTTTCCAGGCCCCGGGTCATCCCTGCTGCCCTCCTCTGAACCCTCTCCAGCTTGGCTGCCCCTTTCTCTGGCATGGCCACTCTGGCTGGCCACCTTCCTCCTGACGAGGCCTAGGCAAAGCCGAGCCAAGGGGAATCCTGGAAGAGTCGAGTTGCAGGGGCCAGGGAGGCCGCGGGGTTCAACCCCTTCTCCGGGCAGGGCTCCCAGGTCAGGCCTCCCTAGCAGAGGGCTGCCCGGCGGCATTGCCCAGCGTGGGTGGGCCCACATGCGCCCGTGCCGCCCTCTTCCTCCTCTCCGTGGACTTTGGACAGGAGGCACAGTCTCATTGCTAAGCCCTTCTTAAAGCTTCTTTTGGCCAAAAGTAGGGTAAAAATACTGTACGTAAAGATGAGACTCAACATTTTAAAGCATTCGAGTTCCTTTTTTTTAAATGTGCATTCTAAATTTGAATTTTGAATAGAAACATTTGGCAGATTTCAAGTATTTGGAAATAACTCGTTTTGGCTCTGGTAAAGAGACTGTAGCCATCTCATCTCCCTGCACAAGTCGCCTGTTTAAAGCGGAACCAGCTGGTGCTGAATTAGAAGTCTGAATCGGGAGCTCGGTACAGTTGCTGCAGCATCTCTGGCAACCCAGACGATTCCTTTGGACCCGGTTGGTTCACACAGCCTGCAGAAAATTAGCTCCCTTTGCCCACTTCCTGTCTGGGCTCAGGAAGCACTTCATGTCTTTGATATCTAACCTGGATCTGAAGAGGAATGAGGAAGTTCAAGGACTTTGCATTTCAGAGCTGTCAAGCTACACATTGCTGAGTCCAAGTGTTAATGAAAAAGTAAGATACAAAACATTCATGCGTCACCGATGCCAAGTTACGAATTAATTCAGTCACATAACAGAAAACAATTTAATAGGGAAGTTCTGATCACCGGATGCAAATGGGGACCTTGTTCAGCCAAAGATGATGACGCACTTTGCTCAGAAAGGGCTTTGTGCAATTTAGGGAACGTGGATGCCTCCCGCCTATTTGTACAGGGATATAAAAACAAAACTCAAGAGTCCAGACTCGCCTCTTGAAAAACAAGCGTCAAGCTAAACTCTGAAGTGCACTTCCAGGAGGGGCTGTGAAGGCTGCTTAAAAGTGGGTCAGACAAATTCCCAGAGGAAAAGACAAGCCATCCTGACGGTTTTATGCTACCCCTGGCATCAGAGGCAGTGTACATTTGTGCATCAGTTGCTGGGGAACATGGGCTGGATGGTGCTGCTGCACTCATCCTGCGCCTGGGCAGCTGGTGGGCTGCTCCCTGCAGACAGTGCTGGGCCACATGCCTCCCCGTCGACTGATCCAGCACTGGGATTCTTAAGTTCGCACGCACAGTGCCATACAAGGCAAACGACCGTAGATACGATCCCAACACATTTGCTACTGCTTTGAGCAGGACAGATTTCTGACTAAACACGCCCAAGGTTGCCCTGAAAAAATAAACTCCGCCAGGGATGCCCGGGAGCTTCTGTGCACGCGACGTCACACATCCAGCCGCTCGCAGAAGGCCGCGCTTGCCCCTCCCCTCCTCCTGACCGTGCACCCAAAGGCCACAACCTGGAGCTGATTGCCCACTGGGTCATCAAGGCTTCTGCACACTCCGAGCGGCTGCCAGTCTCCCGCACCTTGCCTGGCCTGGCCTGGCCTGGCCGGGAGCCAAAACGCCCGCCTGCCACACTGCTTGCGGCGCACCTTCCTCTGCCACATTGCCCGAGCCCTCTCCCCATAAGCAGAAGTGCAGCGCATGCCTCTCTCGCGTCCTCCTCCCTCACCACCACTGGCTCCCTCTGCGTGGTCAGGGATGGCTCGGCATGTCCGTGCAGGGTCCGCACCCCGGGAGACGCTGAGCCGGCTCTTCCCTCGGCTGAAGGCATGCCCACCTCCTTTGCAGCATTGTTGAGGCGCCCCACACGGCCCTGATGGAAACACGCCACACAGCAACCCATCCTGGGACGACCTCTGCTGAGTTGATTGGTCTGCGCACCCTTTGCCCCCTGATCATTCTGCAGGCAAGGCACAGTTTGCGCTCCCCCCTCCCCCGATTGTGGGTGTTCTGGGGTTGTCGTCTGACTTGGGAAGAGACGCAAGGGGGTTTGGCACTCTTGTCACATCATGCACCAGCCACTGGAGGCGACGCGCAAAGGGACTGGTCGCCTGGGTTTGGCTAACACCATCAACCACCATGGGTAAAGCAGCCATGGATCAGCCCTGGGCAAGCAAAGTGCTTTGTTTGGGGGGAAACCCCAAGCCCCTCTGTGCAACCTGAACTGGGTTTGCGGGGAAGACAACCCGGCTTGGCTTGCTGCCCATGTGGGTCATCATGCAAACCAGGTCATCGCTGTCTCCTCCGCACTCTCGCACATTTCCTCGTTATCTTTTTTCCTGTGCCAAAATATTCTTTAAGCGTCTTCCGACTGATCGTGCTAGGAGCACCCAGAACTGCACAAACAGCATCCTTGCAGAGGAAAGATCACACAAAGACAGTTTTTGCATGGACAGTCCTCACCCTTGATGTGCCGACAGTTTGCAAACGTTTGAACCGAAACAGGGCATCTCCAACATCGCCATGCCGTGTTGCCTTCCACTTAGCATGATGCTGAAACCTGCTGCTGTCACTTTCCAGTCACAGCACAACATGTGCATTCAGCCTGCAAAGCCCATGGCTTAACCACCTTTGCATATGGGGCACTTCCCCCACACGGAACCTGCCCAGGGGTTAGGATTGCTCTTGTTCTTCAGGTGAAGCAGGTGACAAAAAGGAATCGCAGGGCCTTCACCATCGTGGCACCTCTTTGGAATAAGGTCCCCATGTAGATACTGTACACAACCAACCCAAATAAATGAAATATATATTATTAACTCCCAAATTACAGATGGGTAGAACTTTGTTTGACATTTTGGCATGAATTGACCTAATTCCACACTTTCCAGCCCACACATGAACTGAAACTCAGCTGTCCTTTGAGGTTTGCACTTCTCCAAATTTTACAACCAAGTTCTCCAAGCAAACGGTATGTATCTGAGGGCAAAGTGCAGGAAAAATGTGAAACTAATTCTCAACAGTTCAAGAGAAAAATTGCTTGCAAAAGTGTATTGATTAAGGAAAACTGCATAGAAAAGGCGTGCAATTTTCCAGGAAACGTCAAAAGGTGGCTCGATGTTTCGGGATGAACCCAAGTTAACCCTGGGAAAAGGAAGCCCCAAGAGGCCCCGATCCAGGGAGGCCCGGGGAATGTGCTGCCTTGCACCAAGCGCCGCCCGCTCGGCTGCCGCCTTCCCTCGCTCCCCGGCTCCCCGCGCCGCCGCCGTCACACGCGCAGGCACCCGTCTCGCCTCGCCTCGCCTCGCACGCCTGCCCGGCCCCTCTCGTGCAGGCACGCAGACGCAGGCGAGCGCGCCGGGCCTGTCTCCGTCTCGCGCACACGCCCAGTTTCAGCCACTCTGCAGTTTTCGAGCTTTCTGGCAGATTCATAACAAATTGCCCAAGAGCGGCGGCACCGGCCGAACCGGCTCGTTGCCCCCGGGGGAAGGGGCGAGGCGCGGAGGAGGCGCGCGGGCGGGGCGGCCGGGCGGGAGAGCGGATGGTGCCGCCGCCGACCTGGGCGGACGAGCGCTGGGCTCGCAGCAGCCCTGCAAGAGGAGGAGGGGGCTGCGGGAGGCGGTGGGGCCCCCCGGGCAGCGTGGGAGCGACGTGGGACTCCTTGCCACGGGACGCGGGCACGGACCCGGCCTTGGCCCCCTTGGCTTTGCGAGGAAAGGCTGGGAAGAGGGAAGCTTCCGGCCTGTGGGGTCGCCTTTGCTTTTTCACTGGCACGCGCCTCCTGCGACCTCCTGGCTGTGTTGGGGTGCAGCTCCCCTCGTCCCCAGCCATCATGGCGGACTCCAACTGCCACGGCCAGCTGGAGGGAACCAGGCGTGGGGAGGCTGCTCTAGGGCCGGGGCGAGGTGGTGCGGGGACGGCGCGGAAGTGGGACGGCGGTGCGGGGCAGAGCCCACGACGGGCTGCACCGAGTAAGCCGCCCCTGGGACGCCGCCGACTGAGGCTCCGAGACGCGGAGAAGCAGAGCCGGCCGGCAGCGTCGCCAGTCGCAGGGAGCCCACTGCCGAGGCGAGAAAGCCGGGAGCAGCACTCGGCACTGGAGGGGGCTGCGGTTAACAAGCCCCAGGCCGAGTCAGCGCCCCCGTGGAAGAGCGAGGCATGGGGACACGCGCCCGGCCACGGGTCCCAGCGCAGGCCTGCCTGGGCTGCGACCTGCGGGGAGTCGCTCGCGTTACATCTGGGGAGTCGGAAGGCGTGGCTGATCTGCGAGGCTGACGGGTCCGGGTCTGCCTTCTGGCTGCCCCCCGGGATACAGGCTGGGGTGCTCTTATCACTGCAGGCCCCTGCAGCGGGGTTCCAGGCAACGCCGTATTCTCGCTGCAGCCCTCCTGCTTTCCCATAGGTTCTTCCACCTTTTCCTTAATGCAGAAAATCTGCTATGGAAGAAAAGAAGACGCACGCGCACACGCAGAGACTGTGTTCCCGCAAGATGACAAGCAACACTCTGTGATTACCACGGTTAACTGCTTGCTTGGGGTTTTTTGTTTTGTTTGTTACCGTGAACTACTGGCCAGGTGATCCCGTGGTTTGTACTCTGTTGTGGTTTCCATCCTCCCCTCTCATTCCTGCTGCATGTGCCCCACCAGCCGTTCCGCCTGAGCTTCACTCCCTTCCTGTATGGCCTTCCTCCTCCTCGCCGGTCCACACACAGAGGCTGGATGGCTGTAGGTGCCACCCTTTCCTGAGGACTCCGTGATAGTTTCCTACCAGGTTCACGGACACCCTGATCCAGGTTCAGATGGCACAAGCCATGGAGGCACAGAGGAACCACAGCGCAACCTGTTGTCTCTTATCATGTTTTCTCAGGACCAAAGTCACCATGGAGAAATACCTTGACTGGGTTCAGACAACACAGCGGACCAACCATGGTAAAAACCCACCACGTTTTGTCATGCTGTCTGAACCCAGCCACTAAGTGTCTTCCAGATGCTAAGCCCCCTCTGACTAGAGGCAGCTAAAGTCAGTGGGCTGTGATCCTTCACTCTTGTTTCCCTCGGACAGACAGCGACAGACAGGCTGCTGAGCACCCCAGGCAGCAAAGGGCCAGAGGGCAATGGCAGGAAAAGGAAAAGGAAAGCAGGCAGGATTGCCGCTGCGCTGCTGCTCCCGTGTTTGCATGGGAGCCTCGCTGTGGCATCGGGCCAGAGATCCAGCGGCCACTTTCCCCCAGTGTCCCCTCGGACACCTCTGCAAAGTACGCAGGAAACCCCCCGGCCGCACCACCATTTCCTCCCAATTGCCTCTACTCAGCGTTAGACTGCTTCTGGCTGTGGGGGTTCCATTTTGGGTTGTCCGTGGACTCCTGCTTCTCTGTGCAGACGGCTCATCCTTTCTGCAAGGCCCCTAAGCCGGATGGCTGCATCACCGCTTCTTGCGAGTTTCAGGAATGAGTTGCACGTTGTAGGAACACTGAACCTTTGCTGAGACCCCTGAACCCAGCGCCATTCACCCCGCGTCACAGGCCGCCCCAAGTGCCAGTGTCGTAAGCGGGGCAGGAAATGCTCTGTCTCCCCATACCTGGGACGGGGGGCAAGTGGCACGGGGGCCAGTGAGTGTCCCCAGCAGCAGTGGCTTCCACAGCCCTCTGCCAAGTTTTCGGCAGCAGCAGAAAAGGGCGTGAAGCAGGGTGGCCCCAGCAAGCGCATCATGAGAAGGGCCCGGCCTCCCAGAGCGGCTGGCCACCTGGCTGCCTGGCCCAGCAGCCGCAGGGAAGTGGGGCGCGGGCGGCCGTGCCCGCCGGTAGCCCTGGGCGCCCGCCGCACCAGCTTCCTTGCGCCGATCACGGGTGCAAGGGCTAACGCGGTGAGCACAAGCTGGCAGGGCAGGACCGTCCCGAGGCTGCCGGCCTGGTCTGGCGCCGGTCAGGACGCACTCCGGGGCCCGCTGCTGGTCACACACCTGCCCCGGGCCTGCGCTGGCCACGGATACCGCACCCGCTTCGGTATTTGTGATATGTCCCTCCATGTTTTTCCCACAATGCCTCCCTGCGATGGAACTTCCGGGCCATTGCATTTTGGGGAAGCCCAGGTCATCCTGCTTTCCCAACATGCATAGATGGTGAGAGTTTGGGGTTTGGGTTTGGCCCTGGCCCTTGACCACCTCAGCCCTGGGGAGACAAGAACACAGCAAAGTCGCTCCTCGCCAGAAGATGCTTGGGGAGAGCCAGGAAACCTGAGAAAGATCCCCTTACGAGTTTAGGGCTGTGCCATCAAAGGTTCCATGATACTTTGTCAAAGGAAGAGAACCCTGATACGTTTTACAGGAAAAGTTATTTATCAACGCAACTGCTACTATATAAATAAGTGTGGGCGCACTTGTGAGTGTCCTGTGCACATTTACTGGGGAGGAAACCCCACAGAATATGGAAATGGGATTTCCTCCGAGAAGACAAGCACAGGGCTGGCCTATTGAGCACGAACCCCGATGTCCGAGCTTCAGAGCTCACCGACGCCATGAGGCACCCACGACGCTTCCCGTCCCTCTTCAGGATCGTCCAGACCCCGTGGATAAACCCCAGTGCTGCCACTGGAACGCCACAGTTCAGAGTCCCGTTTGCCTTTACTCCTTCACGGTCCCAAATGTTGTGAAGCCAGTGGGCACCTCTGGGGTTCCAATCAAGCATCAAGAAGAGTACATGGTACGGACTGACCAACTGCCCACTCACGAAGGACCCAGTCCACAGAAAGGCTGATGGACACAGCATGCCCAAGAGCCCAGACACAAAGGCTCCGAGCTCCAAGACTCAAGCCCATCCCTTCGAGCCCAGTCTTCCCACTCCCCTTTGCCAGGGTTACCCCCACAACCCTCTGGCGCGCCCCCTCCCAGCGCCCTGACCAGCAGCCCTGCACGGCACCCCTGCTGCACCGCTGCCTGCCTGGATGCGCCTGGCAAGCAATCAGGTGGTTTCTGCGCTGACATGGTTCCCACCCTCCTCACTCCGCAGCGCCCTCCTGCTGTGGGCACGTATCCCATCAGCCACGGCACCTGAAATGCAATCCCATGCAGGCAGGCTGGAAAAGCTCCTGCAGCTGCTGCTTCTTCCAGGGGACTGAGTGGAAACCACGATGCTGGTTCAGAAGATCAGAGAAACCACGGTGAAGCATGGAAAGCATACGCCAGGCTGGTGTGTTGCTGCCGTGCTTCCTAACACCCGAATGCGCCAAGCTGGAGCGCCACGGCAGGGTCTGGGTGACACAGCGGAGCATCCCATGCGAGGCACCGCCCTGGCAGGTTGTCGGGAGCACCCCTCCCCGCTTCCACCTGCCCAGCCCTTCGTTCCTCTGTCCCTCTTCCAGGACCACCCCTCTCCCAGACGCTCAGTGTGGCAGCATCCTACGTAAGCACTTGCTCCAGTGTAAGTGACCCCCCACTTCCCCATAAGCGCAGCAGAAAAGCCCCAAGGGGGCCAGGGCAGGGTCCGGCTCGCCCAGCCTTCTCCCACCAGCAGGACAGGCGTTCAATAGTACTCCATCACCCATGATCCCCAGCACTGCCCCTGATGCTGAGGGTATGATATGCCCCTCAGAACTGCTCTGTCAACATGAATCTGCCCGACCCCTTCGTAAAGTCCCCCTTCCTGGTGGCCTCCCCCATGACGTGCGGAAGTGAATTCCGTAGAGTCATTCAGTCCCAATCCAGTTTGATTCCTTTCATTTCCCACTGCTCAGCTTCACAGCATGACCCCTTTAGGGCCTAGGGTTGCGGGAGAGGTGAAAAAACTCACCGCGGCCAGTTTCGCTATGCCAAGTCTCATGAGGCACCCCCTCTTCCTTCCCCAGTTCCCCATGGTTGTCCTGAGACAGTTCCCACTTAGCAGGCAGCGGTGGCAAAGTTTTCTGCTCGCTCGCTTGCTCCCATTCCCAGGCAGCCAGGGACACTCGGAGGCAAAGCGTACCTCCAGCTGCACTTCCTACAAAAGCCCCGGGCTCCAGGAAGGGCCCAGAGAGGTTCTTTGGAGCAAGATGCAGGTGTGTGTGTGTGTGTGGGGGGGTCATCAAGGCACTCCGGGCCACTCCACCAGGTTCATGGATGTGTTTGTTTCAAGGCCTCGCTGGGGCCTTCGTGGCAACACCACTTCCTTGTGGGTGCTGCACGGGCAGTCCCAGAGTCCGTGCAGGAACAGGAGCAGGAGGAGAACTCCCCCAGCTGTGGTACTTCTCAGGAAGAAGTCCCTTGAAGTTGGCCGCCAATGGCCATCCTGGGGGAGAGATGGGCCCCCCCACCCCATGAGCTAGCAGGATTATGGCAGCCTGGCTCAGCGCATGACCCAACTGCAGGCAGAGTGTGGAGCTCTTCCTGGGCTTCCACAGCCTTTCCAGCCTCTCCTGACTGCTCCAGAGATGCCAAAGAAACATTAAATTCATTTCCTTAAACTCCAGATACTTTCTGCAGTTCCTGCCTTTTGGCCTCCCGAGTATTATCGTCATGTTCCATCCCATTCATATGCTGCTGCTTTTCCTCCTTCCAGGACCCTAGGGATGTGCCCAGGAGCCTCCTCCTCTCCGTGGGACCTCACAGCAGCTGCTGCGAGAGGCAGGCCAGGCTCAGAGTGAGCAACTGGCCAAAAGCCCCTGCAGAGCCCCTCGGCCGAGTGGAATCTAGAACCCGGACTTCCTGGGTCCCAGGTCCTGCTGCCTGACTGCACACGCCCTGGCTGCCCCAGGCAGTCGGAGGCAAATCAAGGACTGGAGCCGAGGCCTGAGCATCGGAGAAAGACCCGCTCTGCAATGCGCTGGGCAAGCCTCTCATGGCCTCTGTGGGGCAAAGACCTT